GTTCGTACCGTTAGTTCTGTATCAAGTGACAAGGTTACAGAGGAAAACATTTCTAAATATATCCCAACTCTGATTAATATTTAAACAGCGGTTTGCGTCTTTTGCTATTTACGGCGGTCCTACTGCGTCATTTGCAGTTAATTTTTTTTAAAATTGTAATTAATACTCCGTAATGAACATTTGTTTGTTTGTGGAATTATGATTAACAAATAGATCTAAATGTATTTATTTATTAATTTTAGAATATCTATGTAGCTAATGGCGTAGTTGGGGAAAATATATCTAGGTTGTATGTTGTAACGATTTCTATTTCAAGAATAAAAATGTTTTGTTCTGAAGTTAAAATAAAGATAATTTCTTGGTTAATTAGGTTTAGGGCTAATTTAGTCAATGGATCAGGTTTAGAGCTGATTTAGTCAATGGATCAGGTTTAGGGCTAATTTAGTCAATGGATCAGGTTTAGGGCTGATTTAGTCAATGGATCAGGTTTAGGGCTAATTTAGTCAATGGATCAGGTTTATGGCTAATTTAGTCAATGGATCAGGTTTAGGGCTAATTTAGTCAATGGATCAGGTTTAGGATTAATTTAGTCAATGGATCAGGTTTAGGGCTAATTTAGTCAATGGATCAGGTTTAGGGCTAATTTAGTCAATGGATCAGGTTTAGGGCTAATTTAGTCGATTAATAAGATTTAGGGCTAATTTAGTCGATTAATAAGATTTTGGGCTAATTTAGTCGATTAATAAGATTTTGGGCTAATTTAGTTGAAGGATTTTCTTGTCAGCAACAACTTGTTTGGAGTATGACATTTCCACAATCGTGTGCACATTGAAGGACCTAATGAACCTACCAAACACATGCGGCACTTGACTGGGGCGTTTAGTTGAGGCTAGAGAATCGTGTGTTGACACAAGTCCAAGATGGTATGGGTGAAGTGTGTGTAAGGGTATCAGTGGAGAGATGGTTTAGTTGAACTTGAATGACATAAACCATAAACTATATTTACCTGTTCGATGATACTTTGTCATAACAGCCCAGCACAATAAGAACCTGAGAGTCAGCCATGTTGTATTTGACGTCAGTTAGCCAGGTGCCATTTTTATATGCTTCTTTTAATCATTGGCTAATAGACTAGAGATTTTCCTTGTCTGAAACCATAATTACTGGGCTCTTAAATCACAATATACTTATTAATCCTTAATAGTGAAGTCTATTTTAAATTAACTATAACAAAATATATCTAGCCCGAGCCTAGCACTATAAATCTAATGGTGGAAAAAGCGACGCAGGGGGGTTACCCACCCACCTACTATACCCCAGCGTGTACGCCCCTGGCCTCTTACCTTTATAAACCCACACCCCACTAGGTCAACTGGCTTTAGAAAAACGATTAGTACAGATTCAGTTTTACACCATTGTTTTGTTTTTTTTAACATTAGATTTCCTTTTATCACTTTGGAGGAAGGAAGTGGAGAAGGGGGTGTGTCGTTTCCGGGTTGTCTGTCACGTGGTGTTCTTGTTCTAAATCTTCACGATGGTACATAACTAATGAGAGCTGACCAGCAACAACCAATGGCGTCGCCAAGTGTGGGGGGTTGGGGGTGGGAGGTCCCATGCTGGTGCTCCTGAAGTTCTCTACATGAATCAGTGAGCAGCATGCGTGTCTGACTGAAAAGTGGCAGCTCTCTGGTTTAATAATTGCGGCCCTTTGATTGAATTAATGTGGCTCTGATTTAGATGTTATAATTGCGGCCATTTGAATTATTGCGGAACTTTGACTGAATAATTGTTCATATGTTTACTTTGTCCTAAAGACGCCATCTTTCAATGTCTACTTTGTTCTAAAAACACCATCTTTCAATGTCTACTTTGTTCTAAAAAAACCATCTTTCAATGTCTACTTTGTTCTTAAGACACCATCTTTCAATGTCTACTTTGTTCTAAAGACACCATTTTTCAATGTCTACTTTGTTCTAAAGACACCATCTTTCAATGTCTACTTTGTTTTAAAGACACCATCTTTCAATGTCTACTTTGTTTTAAAGACACCATCTTTCAATGTCTACTTTGTTTTAAAGACACCATCTTTCAATGTCTACTTTGTTCTTAAGACACCATCTTTCAATGTCTATTTTGTTCTAAAGACACCATTTTTCAATGTCTACTTTGTTCTAAAGACACCATCTTTCAATGTCTAATTTGTTCTAAAGACACAATTTTTCAATGTCTACTTTGTTCTAAAGACACCATCTTTCAATGTCTACTTTGTTATAGAGACGCCATCTTTCAATGTCTACTTTGTTCTAAAGACACCATCTTTCAATGTCTACTTTGTTCTAAAGACACCATCTTTCAATGTCTACTTTGTTCTAAAGACACTAAGTTATGATGTCTACTTTGTCGCTATAAAAGCGAAAAAAAAATGTTCGCAGTTTTTTATAAGAATTTTAGAAGTAAATATAAATCACTAATTATTAGTATTGTTTCCAGAAATAAAACTTCTAATAATAGACATGTTTTTTTTTTTAGATCTACCACTTATAGAATCAACGATATTTGCATCAAGTCATAGGTGACCTTTAAAACAATCAAACACGCTTTTATCTTGGTTTCACAATAATAATAATAATAACAATAATTTTAATGACAACTACAAACTTGCAAATTAAAAACGGCTGGCGTTATTAATTTTAGTCATACATTCTATTTCAAGAGCTTTCTATAACACGAAACAATGAGATAAAAAATGAGTACATTTTTTTAAAAAGGAGGCGGGGCGTGATTGTAAAGGAGGCGGGGCATGATTGTAAAGGGGGCGGGGCGTGATTGTAAAGGGGGGCAGGTCATTATTGTAAAGGAGGCGGGGCATGATTGTAAAGGAGGCGTGGCATGATTGTAGAGGAGGCGGGTCATGATTGTAAAGGGGGCGGGGCGTGATTGTAAAGGGGGGCAGGTCATAATTGCAAAGGAAGGCGGGGCATGATTGTAAAGCAGGCGGGACATGATTGTAAAGGAGGCGGGGCATGATTGTAAAGGAGGCGCGGCATGATTGTAAAGGAGGCGGGGCATGATTGTCTTCTGCTCTAAAACAACCTGGTCCCATCCAACTCGGGGCTAAAAACAACTTGTATCGCTTTTTTCCCTCCTACGCTGCTAGATGTAGATGTAGTAGTGAGGTGGATTAATGACGCCGCTGTTAGTGAGGTGGATTAGTGAGGCCGCTAGTAGTGAGGTGGATTAGTGACGCCGCTGGTAGTGAGGTGGATTAGTGACGCAGCTGGTCTATTACAAGGTACCGTACACGTCTATGTTACATCACCCACCCGCGTGGAAGTGTTGCAGCAAACTTCAGTTCAACACTTACGAATATTGCCACTGCTTTCGACAGCGATTTGGTTGTGCATTTCGAAATTATGCGACATTTGCTTTTGTCTCGACGTATGGTGCGGACGTGAATGAAGTTGTGTCTTGTGGGTTAGTTTAAAACTTGTCTGGATTTGGCGACAGTGGGTTAGTCCAAAACATTGTCTGGATTTGACCACAAGAGTACTTATATGACCAAGTGAATCTTATGTTAGCTAATGATTTAAAAGGTAATATATAGTTGGATTAGAATTCGCGTAAATAAGTAATTTTTAGTTTTAGAGTGTGCTATTCGCATATATATATATATATATATATATATATATATATATATATATATATATATATATATATATATATATATATATATATATATATATATATATACATAGTTTATATAAAAAGACGGTAAGCTAAGTGTGCTCTAGCAGAGCTTTGTGTCACCGTGCTCCACACAGCATTCCTTGGATGTGTTGGGTGCTAAGTGTGCTCTAGAAGTGCTTTGTGTCACCGTGCTCCACACAGCATTCCTTGGATGTGTTGGGTGCTATGTGTGCTCTAGATAACGCTGCTACAGTGATCATAATTATTTTTTAAATGAACGTTTTAAATTGTAATCAAACTAAATTTTTTAAACTAGTTTAAGACACCAACAGTGCTTAAAATCTATGACAGTTACACAACACTGTAGTAGTGTCACGTTGCTATGTGTCGCATCCCGTGGCTGTTTTAATTAGTGGTTTCTAATTATGCTCATTACACCAGGAAGTTTAGCCGTGTAGTTGTCTACTACAGACGAGGGGCGGGGGGAGGAGACGGTGGATAGCGAGGGCGTTTGAAAAAGATCTGCGGCAATAAATGTTTGCAAGACACAATGACAGGCCTGGAGATAGGGCACTCAACACATTAGGCCAAACAGGTTGGAATTAATCAGCGGAGTGCAGGTTACAACAGAGGGGCTCTTGTGGACATTGGCAGGACGGAGAGGAGGGTGGCTTGGCAGGTGTAGCTTAGCGTTGTGTAGGCTATTGTAGCTGGTAGCTTAGGATAGTCATTCGTATTGTCTTGTGAGGATTGGGATTACATAAAGCTTTGTAGGCAGTTTTAGGATACTGGTGTCATTCGTAGGATTGTTTTGTCATTCGTAGGATTGGGTTGTCATTCTCATTCGTAGGATTGTTTTGTCATTCGTAGGATTGGGTTGTCATTCTCATTCGTAGGATTGTTTTGTCATTCGTGGGATTGGGTTGTCATTCTCATTCGTAGGATTGTTTTGTCATTCGTAGGATTGGGTTGTCATTCTCATTCGTAGGATTGTTTTGTCATTCGTAGGATTGGGTTGTCATTCTCATTCGTAGGATTGTTTTGTCATTCGTAGGAATGGGTTGTCATTCTCATTCGTAGGATTGTTTTGTCATTCGTAGGATTGGGTTGTCATTCTCATTCGTAGGATTGTTTTGTCATTCGTAGGATTGGGTTGTCATTCTCATTCGTAGGATTGTTTTGTAATTCGTAGAATAGTGGTGTCATTCGGAGGATGGTTTGTGTAGGATAGTGTTGTCATATGAAAGATAATGTTATTCGTAGGATAGTGTTGTCATTCGTAGGATAGTGTTGTCATTCGTAGGATAGTGTTGTCATTTGTAGTATAGTTTCTGTAGGATAGTTTTGTCATTCGTAGCATAATGATCACATTTGTAGGATAGTGTTGTCATTCGTATTATAGTGTTGTTCTACATTGAATTTGTGGTGTGTTTACAAAACTGATGTCTTCATGTTTAAAAGAATAAACTACTTACTAATCAGGTTAGTCTACTCATTAGTTCGTTAAGATTCTATTCTATTTTACTTGAAACCCACACCATATCGCAACATTAAGATTTTAGATTTAAGTGTGACCCTTCTCCTAAGTGGTTTTTATTGTTTCCTTTGTGAATGTAGAGCACGTTTTTAGTTCGGCTTTTAATGTGTAGCATTTTGTGAAGAATGTGGACAGTGTGTAAGAATTAAAGAATGTTGAAAGTGTGTAAGAATTAAAGAATGTTGAAAGTGTGTAAGAATTAAAGAATGTTGACAGTGTGTAAGAATTAAAGAATGTTGAAAGTGTGTAAGAATTAAAGAATGTTGACAGTGTGTAAGAAATAAAGAATGTTGACAGTGTGTAAGAATTAAAGAATGTTGACAGTGTGTAAGAATTAAAGAATGTTGACAGTGTGTAAGAATTAAAGAATGTTGACAGTGTGTAAGAATTAAAGAATGTTGACAGTGTGTAAGAATTAAAGAATATTGACAGTGTGTAAGAATTAAAGAATGTTGAAAGTGTGTAAGAATTAAAGAATGTTGAAAGTGTGTAAGAAATAAAGAATGTTGAAAGTGTGTAAGAAATAAAGAATGTTGACAGTGTGTAAGAAATAAAGAATGTTGACAGTGTGTAAGAATTAAAGAATGTTGACAGTGTGTAAGAATTAAACGGTTCTAGCGTGTAAGAAATGAAAGTTTGATACTACATGTACACACCGTGTTGTTACTGACTGATTGCGTTTCATTAGTGTTTATCCGGCGACATTTGACACGTGTGTTCAGCCAAACTTTTTAAACTCTCTCCACTTTAGCTTCGTGTGAAAAATTGGCTGTGGGGGTTAGAAGGTTGGCTGTGGGGGTTAGAAGGTTGGCTGTGGGGGTTAGAAGGTTGGCTGTGGGGGTTAGAAGGTTGGCTGTGGGGGTTAGAAGGTTGGCTGTGGGGGTTAGAAGGTTGGCTGTGGGGGTTAGAAGGTTGGCTGTGGGGGTTAGAAGGTTGGCTGTGGGGGTTAGAAGGTTGGCTGTGGGGGTTAGAAGGTTGGCTGTGGGGGTTAGAAGGTTGGCTGTGGGGGTTAGAAGGTTGGCTGTGGGGGTTAGAAGGTTGGCTGTGGGGGTTAGAAGGTTGGCTGTGGGGGTTAGAAGGTTGGCTGTGGGGGTTAGAAGGTTGGCTGTGGGGGTTAGAAGGTTGGCTGTGATGCCCAGGGTTGGGTTAGAATATGACAAGTTGACATACTAAAGATTTCCTTATTACAAATGTATGTTGGTGAAATTTTGATTTTAAAATATGTTTTTAAGTCCAGCGTCGATAAAATATGTAGTCTCCCTACAAAAAAAAATAAATTAAGAATATGTTGGCTAACCTTAACATTTAGTTTTTTGAAAAAAAAAAATTGGGACATTCGGTATTTGTGCGATCTTTATTGTTGCTGTTTGTTGATTTTTGTTTTGGAACTATTGGCTGCTTAGTAAAGACCATTAACAATAGACTTTTTAAAAGTCGTTTAGCCAAGTTGTCCTTGCTAGTAACTTGACATAGCCTTCCACCCTTAAAACTGTGTACTGTAACAATCCTTTCGTTTGGAACAAAAAACTGTAAAAAGTTTTCTGTTGTTTTTTTTTTGTATTCGAAATGTACTTAATATGTCCGTGGTCAGTTGTTGTTTTCAAACCATTTTATTCTGTCTTGCAATAGTCTGCAATTCGTTTAATTTATTTTATTCTGTCTTGCACTCCCAACTCTAGTTCCACGATGAGTGATCCAGACACGACTGAAGGGTCGGGGGTCAAAGGTTGGCGCCATCTCAAGGCCCGCTCCAAGTCTTCGAACAACTTCAGGAACTCTGCGTACTACGAGAGGTTTCTGTTCTTCGAGCAGGCGGCCTGCGGTCACGTGCCGGACCTTGAGACACACCCGTCTCAGCCGAACAGGACCAGACACCTGTCTGAAGACAGGACACACGGCGGGGTCAAGGTCGCCAGGTCTGCCGACTGCAGAGACAAGCCGGCTGGAGTTAGAGGACTTCACTCTCATGGAGGGGACGTCGGCCTTCACCCCCACGAAGAAGAAGTGTGTGTCAAAAGAGACGCAGCTCTTCACTCCCCTGAGAGAAAAATTACCGAGAAATGCAGCCCAGGCCGAGCGTCACGGTTCAGTTTTTTCTACGGGCGAATGACTTGCAGCCTGGCCGATACGACGCCATTACCATGTCGTCGCAGGCTAGGTCAGAACAGCTCACACGTGATGCGGGCGGCCCACACGGGACAAGACGGTGGTCTTACACAACAATCGAGAACATTCCTTACTTCCAGTCCAAAGGTCAGCCCAGCTTCTTCCCAGTTTCTTCCACTCACAAGAGAACCGTTGCTCCACCAGCAGACGTTACCTGCCCGCCGTTGGCTCAGTTCTCCTGATGTCTCTTTACCCAGCCTCAACTTAGAACCCGAGGCGTCGCCGGCGCCCTCCCCACACACATTGAGCTCCGCGCCCTCCCCTATTATATTGAGCTCGGCGCCCTCTCCCAACACACTGAGCCCAGAGATCAAGCTCGAACCGTGCATGCTGCATGTCAAGGGCGACCAACACTCAGATTACTCCGCCGATTTCTGCTGCAGCCGCAGCACTTCCCCCGGTGCTTTTTCAGACTCCGCCCTGAAAGAAGACTTCGACACGCGCTCGTGCGTGTCGTACCCCCAGATGTCTCGCCCGTGCCCGGCCCCAGACAGTTTACCCGGGCAGACGACGCTGAGCCACAGCCTGATGGAGCTGACCAGGATGAAGTCCATCGCCAGCATCAACCTGACACGCGCCAGCAGCGCGCGCCTAGCTCCGTCCAGCGAGAGCGGCCGGAGGATCCACGTCATCAAATCCGCCCAGTCGGTGCCGGTACTGCCGCGAGAGTCGTCCCCACGTCTGCTGGACGAGTGGCTGACGGCTGTGGTCAAGCACCAAAAGGAAAGTTCCAGCGAGCAATGGGCTTTCCCAGAGGATGAACCCAACAGTGTGTTTTCATTGACGCTGCCCTCTAAATCCTACCACCCCGCGTGTGAACTTCCTGAAACCACAGACGTATCAAATACTCAAAACATAACCTCCACACATTCCAAATCCGATGTTTGGTCTTTACCTCGCGAGCAGACGGCCAGCCCACACAGACCGAGACCCGACGTGTCTTTGTATTCATGTACGTCATCCTTGAGGGCCTACACTGTGGAAAAACCAGCTGACGTCAGCGATAAATGCTGCACGTTCTGCTGCGTGTTCCACAAGGACAGACAATGCTCCCACGTCCACCACAGCAGCCTGCACGACAGTTCCAGCCAGACAGACTTGACCGCCCTCACAGACCGCCCCAACTCCAGCCCACAGCGCTTCCAAACTTCAGACATCTCTGGCGGGAAAGGCGCGCAGACGGAACTCTTTGGGTCTGGCATCAGGATTTGTGTCACGGAAGAAGAAGGCGTGTTTGATGACCGGCAGCCGGCGGCGCCTGCTGGGGTAACTCAGGGAGGTGAGTGCCTCGCGCGGGAGGTCACCCTCGCTTCGGGCGCCTCCCCTCACTACATTTTCCCCAGCAGCGCCCTAGGGTTGGAGGATGACGCCGGCGCCCTCTTCGCCACCCTCTCGCCCCGGAACAGCGTGGGCAGCATCTGCAGCAGCCAGTCGTACAAGTCCAGCAACGCCGACTCGGCCGTGGACCTGGGACCGCCGGACGACGACCACGACTTCGAGTACGCGGACTTCCTGGCCCGGCACGACCTGCGTCGGTTCTCCAGCGTCAGTGAGAGGGCGGAGCTTCTGGAGGAACCCAGCGGCGGCGACGTGTTAAACGTCGAGGAGACTCCGACACTTCCAGAACCTTCCGCCCCTGACGCTACGGATCTCCCCGCCACACGCGCCCCCCTTGTCCCCCTCCGCCGGCTGTCTGTGGGTGAGGCTCACATGTCTCAGTTTTTCCCAGAGTTGAGCTTTGAGGATTTATCCAAACCTAAATCTCAGTCGTTGGAGAACTTGTCCACAAACCACGAAGGTGACTTTGTACTCAACACAATCCCAAACCACGGAACTTTCTCAAGGTTTCGTCCGTACAAACCCCAGGACCTGACCTTTGACCTTTCACCCAGTCAACATACCCTTACAGGGAGAGACAAGGGACATCCTGACCCCACCCCTCCCTCCTCTCATCAGACCCAGACCTCAGAGCTTGACCCTCCCCTCCCTGCTGGACACGGGCCGGCAGAAGACCACCCCACCCCCCTACAGTGTACACTGAGGAGACCGCGGCCCCTGCGGGCCAGCCCGCAGCACGTCATCCCTGAACTCGTCATCAGTGACCACAGCGAGCCGGCACCGGTCAAGTCGTCCGGCGCCGTCCGGCCCGTCTTTTCTCTCGTGGACGACGAGAACGACGACGAGAACGACGATGACCTGGAAGACAACATCGAACTCTTTGCCCCAATTTCCCCGTCCCCCACCCCCTCCCCCACCCCCGAGTTCGACCTGCTTCAGGTGGACGGGCCGATGTTCCGGTCAGCGTCCGTGGCCTCCATCAGCTCGGAGTGTTCCACCTGCTCCACCTGCACCATCATGTCTGACACGGAGAGGCCGCGCCAGAGGAAGGTAAGTCAGTTGCTTACCTTGTCCTGGTCCTGTAGGTCTGTACCTGGCCTTTTGGTTGCACTCTACACTTCTATACTTACATAAGGTTCCTTACACATAAACATACACATTCACATACACATATATAGATATAGATATATACAGACAATCTATTAATACAATATTTTATATATATATATATATATATATATATATGTGTGTGTTGTCTATTTTTGAACTCATCCTAATCTACTATACGATCGTATTTTAAAGAGGTCTTCAACGTTGTAACGCTATTGTAAACTGTGTTTGCATCTCCATCACCACAAGTCCATAAATGTGGTCTCTGTTTTGGTGATCGTGGAAACGTTATTCTTGTGTTACAATTTTACGCTGTCACATGGGGTAAAAGACACTGACAAAAATTTATTAACGTAAAGAAAAACAAACCAAATAAACAAAGCATAATGGTAATGTCGATTTTTTAATGTGAGTATTAGCTGCAGCTGTTGTGTTATTTGCTTAATATCCCACACCTTCAAGATCATCACACGCACACCACACACATTGTGTGGGAAAGATATATCTAATTAATGTATATTTAGACTAGATCATTATCTTGAAATTGCTGATCTTTATTGCGTTAACTCCTCCCTCTAGACGTAAAACCTTTCTAAAAACGAACTTTTAGCATAGCTGATACGAACATCTCCTAACACCAAATAAAGCTGTGGTAAAATTTACACAAACACCAGCACGACGCCAACCTTTAAACAACAGTACACTCAAACACAACATCATCATTTAAGATAACCACGAGCCCAGCAACAGTGCAGACGGTTATTTACCAGCATGTCCAACCTTTGCTCGCCTTCTATTGATTAGACTGAGCAACGTGTAACGCGATCTTGTTGTGTTGCTTGTAAGTTCGCTACTTAAAACTAGCAACACACATTTTTTTTTTTAGAAAAAAATTTTGATTTGAAAAAAAGGCTGACCCATTTTTGTAGATGAGGATGTTTTGTAGATAATGACATAGTTAAAGCACGCACTTAATCCGGGGTCAAATATCTAGCGAAAAGAATGACGTCATTCTGTGGCCTTGAAGCTTTATCTTTAGGATGAGAGAATGGTCACGACAAAGGGACGTAACTCTACGGTTTAAGGCTCCACCCTTGACCATCACGTGATTCCAGACCCAGGTGCCACACATCTGCATAGATTTAATGCTAGCTAGACTGCCACCGTGGACAGGCCATGGACTGTTTGAATCTTCACCACCCCAATGTTTACCTCGTGTGGTCGCTCATGAACTATTTCACGGTGTGACAGTTCCTGGGGAAACAAATGCATGCTTTTGTAAACTATCTTTAAGTGCCTTACACTGAAGATAGATATCTTATTCCTGTTGTCTTTTTGTTTGTTAAGTTTGAGTTTCGTCACATTTTTAAAACAAGAGCGTTTTTTTTTGTTCAAAATAAATTTGTTTTCCCACGACATGGATTAATTATTAAGTCTAAGAATCGGTAAACTTGTGTTAGTCATATTTTCAACATGTTGATTATTGTTCCAAGTATTGTTTTCTTCTTGTGGTAAGCTTGTGATACATGAAAATATGTATTTCCCTGACACTAGTTATACTATGCTAGTTATTAATAGATGCCTTGCGGTTCTTTCGACCTTAAACCTATAGTCACCGTACAACCTATGGTCACCGTTAAAGCTATGGTCAACGTTGAACCTATGATGACAGATAAACCTATTATGACCGTTAAACCTATGATGACCGTTAAACCTATGGTCACCGTTAAACCTATAGTCACCGTTAAACCTATGATGACAGCTAAACCTATCTGAACTGAACGAGAAACGTGACACTCTCTACGTAGCGATCAATGCAAATTTCCAGTAAAAAAACTGAGTACAGAAAGAGGTTTATTGTTCTACTCTCCCCACCCCCTCACCCCACCCTCGCCACTCCCCCACTCCCCACGCCACCCCTCATTTCCCCATCGATGCGCGTAGGAGGGCAGAGTTTATATCGAGACAAAGTTAGAGAGCAACTTGTCCAGGAAATGATCCAAAGTCATTTCAAGTAGGCCCTACTCCAAATTTTAGTCGGTCAACAACACGGAAGTATCAGGTAACTAAATGTTACCTTTTATAAAACTGGAGGAGGGGGGGCTATCTGAAAAGTTGTTTTTTACGAACATTCTTTACTTTATGATAGACAGCACAATCGTTTTGGGGGGGGGGGGGGGCAATTTTCTTTAGCTTATCAATAAAAGTAAACGTATTGGTCCCTCCTAAAAGTTGTCAGCATATTCTTGGGACCAACAATTCAATTCAATTTTTTCTATGCAAATCTACACAGCTTACTAACTCGAAGCTCCATGATCCTAACAAGGAAACATAATGACCCTTATAGCAAAACGTAATGACTCTAATAACAAAACATAATGACCCTTATAACAAAACAGAATGACCCTTATAACAAAACATAATGACCCTTATAACAAAACATAATGACGCTAATAACGAAACATAATGACCCTTATAACAAATCATAATGACCCTTATAACAAAACAGAATGACCCTTATAACGAAACTTAATGACCCTTATTACGAAACATAATGACGCTAATAACGAAACATATTGACCCTTATAACGAAACATAATGACGCTAATAACGAAACATATTGACCCTTATAACGAAACATAATGACGCTACCGCTTTTATAAAGTCAGCCCACTTCACTAATCACTGCCATCTAGCTATCCCTCCTTTTTGTAGTATATAAAATAATACATCAATTAATTTTATTGACTACTTAAATATCTAAATAGATAGAAATATTTTATTGATGCTATGTTATCCTACATACTTGTATTGCACGAGAGAGAAGTAACATTTTAGGGAAAATCATGTTACAGAATTTATCATCAAACGAACCGAAAAAACAAGCCAAACGTGGTTGTTCTTTTTTTTAAATTTGTGAAAAATTAGGTTTCCTCCCTTGATCCAAAATCTCTGCAAATAGAAATTTGTGATAGGTGAAGACAACTCCTTCCGCCTTTGGTCGACTTGTATTTTACTCGGTTATCTAACCTGCAAATAATAATAAACATCCTTCTGAACTAACAATTGTTCTGGAAAAACTTTCCGAAAACTTGACATATTTAGAAAAAATTCTTACGTATCAGAAATACTTAAAATACACGTATGTCGAATAATAAAATTGTACGCCGAAATATCCTTAAATGCTTGTCAATTGTTTTTCTAGTTCTGAAAAATTACGGGTTTTTTTTTTAAAATTACGTTTTACAAGGTACAGCACTCATAAAAGACTACCGTGTGTTAAGTTATACGCGATTGCTTCCCTTAACATTGATAGCAAAATACAATCATTAATAATGTCCAGCCTAATGAAACAGTTGTTTAACCGAATTAAAAAAAAAAAAAAGAATATAAAGCCTACATGCTGGTTAATATTCGTAATAAAAAAAATTCTGTGGTCCCGTCGCTATTTGTTTGTTGTTTTTTTTAAGTGCAAATAAATAGTATTCGGCTAGGCGTATTTTAAGTAGGGCCTACACAAAAACATTTTTTTTTAAATTGCATTGAAATATCAATTTTCAAATTTAGCAGATAATCGAAAAGTAAAAAATATTAATTAAAATATTTATTTTTAAAAATTTATTTTACCAAGACGTCCTAAATATACTTTTTTTTGGTAAAAGGAATGCATTGATTTAAAATTACTTATGATTATTCACGGTTCGAATTTTTAAAACTAGTCAATGTTTTTTTTTTTTAAGTTACAACTGTCATTTTCTCCTAAACTAAATATAGATTAACATACATGGCGCATTAAATAAAACGAATACAAGTTTGCCAGATAGCACAAGCCAATTATTTGTTTCGTAGACTTCTGCCGTCTGCCATGAAACCACGTTTTAAGTTTTGGCTAAATCTGGCAATAATCGATCTCAAGCTCACAAAATATTTTTTTTACCTGACTCGATTAGCTACCGGTACGTCTGTACGTTTGGGGTAGTTTTTACCAACTCATAACACGATCTCTCGCACGCGGTTGCTATGGCAACGCTTTAAAAAAAACAACGGAACGGATTCAATCAGAACGCCGGAGCTGGCAGACGACGACCCTGCTCTATGACGCATGAAGTCATTGATCCAGCGATAATTACAATCGTCAAGTTTTTTTTTTAATAATTTTATATCATCGTTGTCAAGTTGTAGTTTTTAAATCTCTGTTGATAAAAATTGTCTTTTAGATTTGCGTTCTCTAGGCTTGATGTCTGTCTCAGCTCTCCGGTCTATTCGGGGCGCGCTGTGATGATAAGGGCAATTAACTCTCGTACTGTTGTTGTACAGAGATCTCAAGAGTTGTCGTCCCTATATTGACCAGTGTTTGAAGGCCGGGGTGTGAGACGGCAGAACTTGTGCCATTTTAAATGGTGCACTGTCCAGTTACTGTTAAGACGGAGAAGCCAGATTTTTAGGATACGGTAACGTTTAAAGCAGTGAAGCAGTGTTACTTTCAGATATTTTTTCTCCAGGGAAGGGGGTGCATTTGAAATTTGGGAGTGGGGGGTAGACTTAAATTAGGAGGAGGTGGGTCGGACACTGGTTGAAATATACATTTTGTATATAAATTATTCGTTGGGGGGGGGGGGGGGGGTATATATGACCCCCCTCTTTCCCCCCCCCTCCCCCTCTTCCCCCCCCCCCCACCCCATTCCCCCGAAAGCATGGAGGCATGCTGAAGGAAACTGGGTTAAAGGGCAAATAACAACTCGGTGTGGATAAGGTAGGTCAAGGGGAGGTACCAAATATAGGTAAAGAAAAACATTATTATAATCATTACATCTGATGGGAGAAAAAAGTGTTATTTTTTATTCGTCGCTCTCGGGGTGGCTTCAGGGTGAGCACCGACTTTCACTTCAGCCCCAATCTGCCCTTCACCCAGCCCCAATCTGCCCTTCACCTTATCCAATCTGCCCTTCACCCAGCCCCAATCTGCCCTTCACCCAGCCCCAATCTGCCCTTCACCCAGCCCCAACCTGCCCTTCACCTTAGCCCCAATCTGCCCTTCACCTTAGCCCCAATCTGCCCTTCACCTTATCCAATCTGCCCTTTACATCAGCCCCAACCTGCCCTTTACCTTAGCCCAAATCTGCCCTTCACCTTATCCAATCTGCCCTTTACATCAGCCACAATCAGCCCTTCACCTCAACCCCAACCTGCCCTTCACCTTATCCAATCTGCCCTTTACATCAGCCCCAATCTGCCCTTCACCTTAACCCCAGACAGCCCCTTTCACGCCCTAACCCCACAACCTTTCTTCAGTTCTCTTTCTTTGCCTAGTTAAAGTGGCACTCTAGTTTTGTGCCCACAATTTTCAATGCGACATTTTGCAGTCACCACACACACACTCACGCGCGCACGCACACACACACACATACACACACACGCACCAATTCGCCTCCCTAAAAATTGATGCAGAAGATTCGAAAATAAGACCAGGATCGATGCCGCCATAGTTACGTAACAAAGTGGTTGACTGTAATGTTTGAGCACGTGCTCCTTGAGTCGTCTGCCAATCGTCTGCTATTACTTCCCGGTTTGTCTCCCTTAAGTCGATACAAAAAGTATGTCAACTACGTCATCAATATGGTTGGAAAATTACCCGTCTGTTCGATAAATGGTGGCGAAATAGTAACTCGTTTCTTTCTCTCTGGTAATTGGTTCCCCACTTGATTACTATTGACCTTGTCACAACGAAAGTGACCTTGTATTTGTATTTCAACGGTAAAGCGTGTAATTAATTACCTTGAGTATGAAACGTATATCAATACCTGCGGCTCTACAGCTAGTAGATTGAGGGGTGGGGGGGGGGGTAGACCTGCTCCCCTCTTTCTTCTATCCAGATTTATCTGTTGTTTCAACCTTCTACGTCAACTTAATCCTAATCCTTAGGGATTAGGATTAAGTAAATACTAATCGCACGTTGTAAAAATGAAGAGCTACTTAAACTAGCGACTGACCTTTTCGTTAAAATGATGGCAAGATATCTAATTTCCGACAGACAAAATGATGGCAAGATCTCTAATTTCCGACAGTCAAAATGATGGCAAGATCTCTAATTTCCGACAGTCAAAATGATGGCAAGATCTCTAATTTCCGACAGTCAAAATGATGGCAAGATCTCTAATTTCCGACAGTCAAAATGATGGCAAGATATCTAATTTCCGACAGACAAAATGATGGCAAGATCTCTAATTTCCGACAGTCAATCAGGCAACATAAAGGTCCTGGGGTTTTTGTTTTGCTAACGTTTTTACATACGTCTTTCTTACACCCTGTATTCGGCACCTGCCCATTACATCCTTACTTCCCTGTTATAGCCGTTATTACATCCTTATTTCTCTGTTATAGCCTTTACTTATATACCTGCTCATAACATCCTTATCTCCCTATTACAGCCTTCATTACATCCTTATTTCTCTATTATAGTCGTTGTCCCTGCTATTTTGACTTGCATCAATCTAAAGGTCATCCAAAAATGTTTCCATAAAATTACATCACATTCATAAGTCGACCATTATTCCGGTCACGTGTCCTTGTTGTCGAGCAGAGAATTATGGGATACCACACTTACGACTAGTTACTCGTGTCTTTTTTTTTACAATCGATCTCCACCTTGTTGCACTGGGCGTTTGAAAAAAAAATTGGGCCAAAATACGATACTGGTCCAAAATATGATACTAGTCCAAAGTACGATACTTGTCCAAAATACGATTCTGGTCTGAATACGATACTGGGTCAAAATACGATACTGGGAAAGATATCATACTGCACAAAGAAACGATGATAGGCTAAGATACGATACTTATGGTACTGGGTCTAGGTACGATATTTTGTCTATGTACGATACTGGACCAATATTCGCAACTGGGTGAAGATACGCTTTTGGGTCTAGGCACGACACGATGCTGATCCAAGACACAATACTGGACAAAGATACGATACTGGGCAAAGATACCATACATGGACAAGATACGATACCGGGTCTAGGTAAGATACTGTGCCGATTACTTATGTTCAGCCGTTCGATACTAGGCCGCGATTCCATCCTGAGGTTTTTTATTACCCGACTACACAACAGACACACTGCACGACACATTCGATGTATGAACCTTGAACTTCCGGTCGTCTTTTTGCTCGTGTAAATCACTGTGTTCAAACTGCACAATTTTAGACTGACTTACGTTTCTACAAAACACAACTTTAATACATAGAACCAAGTCAGGCTCACTTTTAAGCTAAACACAATTTGTACACATGGATGTGTACAACTAGCACACACACACACACACACACTCACACACTACGCTTACCTATATATGTGTGTGTGTGGCTAACAGTGATCCTTGTGTATGTGTGTGTATGTGTGTGTGTTTGTGTGTTTGTGTGTGTTTGTGTGTGTGTGTGTGTGTGTGTGTGATGATCTGACGTCATAGATGACACAAGTTGTAAAGCCAGGAGATAAAAGTGCGAGAGAAATGTCAGGATGATGTTTTTTTTAGACCACTCGCGACAAGCTGGGATGTCAGGTGACATTAATGTCAGGCAATAATGGGCTAATTATGGGAGAATTGTGGGAAAAACTATGGGAGAATTTGTTTTCCTTTAGGTGTGAATCTGCGGCAATCAAAGAACAGTGTGTGTGTGTGGGGGGGGGGGGGGGGTTGTGTGTTTTTTTTTAATCTGCGTGTGCTTATATCTATTTTTTGCATATGAGTCCGCATGTATGTATGTGTGTGTGTGTAAGTGCGAGTATTTGTATGTAAGTGTGTGTGTTAGTGTGTGTTTGTAAGTGTGTGTCCGTGTAAGTGTGTGTATGTATGTGAGTGGGTGTATATGTATGTGAGTGCGTGTTTGTATGTAAGCGTGTGTGTGAGTGTGTGTATATGCTGGTGTGTTTAGGTGTGTATGTGTGTACAGATAACAACTATAGTATGTGTGAGTGTAATGAGGCGTGTAATGTTTGTACGACTGTGTACATGTATGCGTGTGTATGTAACGTGCGAACATCAACTAAAGACCAACAATTGTTGCTGGCCAAAGATAAATCTCAACACCTGTTGGCTGAACCACAACACAATCGAACAACAGCTGTTCTTATGACGTCACAACCAGCTGTTTACAACCCCATAACAACCAGTCCCGCTGGGCACACAACATGACGTATCTTTTGTTTTTACACCACCTATCAACTGCTCACTTTATTAAAATGCCCACTAAGGTCAAACTTCGGCAGCTCATTAACCCCTGGTAATTAACTTAACACTGGGTCATGCCAGGCCCCACCCCTTGACGTGCCGCCATTAGCAGACGATTGTTTCCTGCTCTGGCAGCCGGGGAACAAAACAACCAGGTGAACAGCTTTACAGCTCTGTAAATCTCTTGACAACTTGTAAACGATTTACAACGAGAGAATATGCGAACATTTCAACACAGTCGAATCGTTCACGTCAAAAGTTCCAATCCCGTCTGTTCTACACACAGTACTTGCTCGTCTAATGTCGAATGTTCACACAAGATTCAAACCAATTGCAACTCTCTTTGATCGGTGTGTAGGCTTACATGTTGAATTATACAGTCTTTAGTAATTCACCCGCGTGTTTGTTGTGTGTAGTGTGTAGTGGTTTCCTTACCGCCCTCTCTCGCTAGGCCTAACAAATGTTGTGTCACATGACCCAACTTCGCTCCACTTCCTCGGCGTGACGTCAGAGGGCCGGCGGTGACGATCTAAAAATAGGTTGCGACCTTCGATAACCAGATTTAGGAAAGGGGGGGGGGGGGGGGAGGGTAAGGAGAGCGGGTTAGTCTGCGCACCCCCGTCAACTTAGCATAAAGTGTGGTAGAAAAAATGCATCGGTGTAGAGTACGTGTGCTGTAGGATAACCTACACGTTTTTTTTTTAATGTGCTGTTTTATTTCGAAGGAGCACATTCAACTGGTGGGTTGTAGAAATCTGACCCGGCGCGGTTTGCTTCGGTTTGTGGGAGTTGGACGCGCATTTCTTTCTCGGTTGGTGGTGTGCATTGTACACGATCTTAAGCTAAATCTGTGTTAGTGTGGCATATATAGGGTTTACACGATCTTAAGCTAAACGGCCTGTGTTCATGTAGCATAAAGGGTTTGCACTCTAAACCTGTGGTAGTGTGGAATATAGGGTTTACACGATCTTAAGCTAATCCTGTGTTAGTTTGGAATATAGGGTTTACACTCTAAATCTGTTTTTGTGTGGCATATATAAAGTTTACACTCTAAATCTGTGTTACACGTTTACACGATCTTAAGCTAATCCTGTGCTCTTATGAAATATAAGTGTAGGCCTACGGATATTATTTTCGTAAAATTTGAAACCACCCGTTTCTTGAGTGTTGATCAAGTTGTTGTAAGTAATAGATTTTGTTTCGTTTTAGACATTGGCGTGTTTTTTGTTTACTTTCGTTTTTTTTTTTTAATTTGTGACGTCATATGTAGTCTGGTTGCTGTCAGTTAAATTTTATTACGTCTGGACTACAGGATAGTCAGGTAGTGGCAGGCAGGTGGTGACAGTCAGGTAGTGACAGGCAGGTAGTGACAGGCAGGTAGTGACAGACAGTTAGTGACAGGCAGGTAGTGACAGGCAGGTAGTGACAGGCAGGTGGTGACAGGCAGGTGGTGACAGGCAGGTGGTGACAGTCAGGTAGTGACAGGCAGGTAGTGACAGGCAGGTAGTGACAGACAGTTAGTGACAGGCAGGTGGTGACAGACAGGTAGTGACAGGCAGGTAGTGGCAGGCAGGTGGTGACAGGCAGGTGGTGACAGGCAGGTAGTGATGAAATGACAGAAGGGGGTAGTATCACAAATTACTAGAGGGGTGGTATCACGAGTTACTAGGTGTTCTGTCTTACCCTCATAAAATATTACAACTATAAAACATCAAGATGTCAATTCCCCCACCTCCTTCGTGGTCCCCACACCCACCTCCTCAATACCCTCCGATCTCCACCCTCCGCACGGTGTTTCTGTGTTCTACATATCCACT